AAAAGTATCGATCTCCTTTTTAAAACGCCGGGCTATGCGCATGTAATTCCCCTGATGTTGCAGATGTTCATGGGTGGCAGGTGGCAGTGTTCGCTTACCATCAGCTGAGCCGTATGCTCATTTACTACCTCTTTCGTAATAGAAAAAGGAGTGCGGTCCACCGTCATTCGAGCAGCCAGCTATAGTATCCCTCCAGAGTGTATATCCATTATGCAGTATGCTACAGCTTACAGGTTGTAACTTCTAAGTCGATGTGACCACATATCGAGGTAGGAATCGGCCAGCCTTTTTCCTAAATGTCAACCTCATCTGCTAAAAGGACTTTAGCGACGGACTGGTAGCGGAAAATTCATCCCAGACTAACGGAGTTGCAAGCTGGCTAACCTGTATGCTGCATATTTAAGAATTTGCTCATTTCCCTTATCGGAGTATCCTAGTAGCGGTCGCGCTTCCCATGTGAAGTATATTCGCTTTAATATTACTTATTTTTACCATCTCGAAAAAATAGTGTAACAGGTGAACGGATTAGAAGCGTATGGCACAGATATTTTACATTCATATTATGAAATAGATCTATCAATAAATACTACCACTAATTTGAAATAAACTTTCGGTACTAAAAAATAACCACAAAATTTTAGAACTAAATAAAGAAATCAATAAAAACTGCTATCGAAATTAAAATAATACGTACCCAATTAGTAGTATTTATTTTTTAGATCAATTTCATATGTTAATGTAAAAAAAATATGTTAAATATCAGGCTTCTATTCCGTTCACCTGTTACACTATTTTTTCAAAACGGTAAAAAAATCATCCATTATTTTAATAAGTGGCAGGACTCCTTTTTGCCTTCGCAGGTACCTACCTTACTCCCTCAGTTACCCATTCCTGCTGCCAAACAGCAGGGCGTCCACGGCTGCATCGGAACATAAAAGATATAGAGAGACACTGTAACTGAAGGATGTACAGCATTCTATAGATTCAACGCATCTGTAGCCTTTTATTTGTTACTTATTTTATTTGTATTTTAGTTGCAGTAGCCATTTACCATCGAGTGGAGTGTTGAAGCCTGCGCTCACAGACGGCCCGACGGGGCACAGTGTGACAATACACACTTCGACATGCCAAACGCTCCTATGGCAACTCGCGTCGTGCTAAAGGATCCTGTGGCATTCCTCGGCATGTCAAAGGATCCTTTATCAAGGCAACCCCCATCGTGACTAAAGCACCTGCTTCCGGGCTCACTGAAATCGCCGCCGCAACGGGCTAGATTCAACCTTGTTTCAATTTCCTTCGAAACGTCTTGCTGTTGTACGTCATTCTACGTACTACATTCACGTCTGCGGCGTGCCGTAGCATTCTGAAGAATGACAGCAAGAAGAGCAGCAAGACTTTTCTGTATATTCGTGTTTAAATAAAGGAATGTCTGTACTAACTTCATTAAAATAAGGTCGAAAATCATGTGTCCACGAAAAAATCCTTCGACACGCCGTGCTGTCTGTGAGCGCAGGCCCTTAGATCGTTTGTCACTTCATATTTTATTATAGTGGAAAAATAAACAGGAGACTACTTGAAATTGGCAGCAGTCAAGTGGCCGTTTGCCAAAACTAAGGGGAAGAAATAGACAAATGAGAGGACTTATATTGGTACCTTATAAATTGTCATAGTTGCTATACTTGACAATCAGGTTGGCCACCGCAGTGTTTTATTTCTACTAAGCTGTTATCGGGAAGACACTTCTGCCCATCTGCTTCAATTTCCCTCTGTCGCCTCTTGCCCACGGAACGATACGGGATGGGTAGGGGATACTCTTACACCGTCACTACGGTTATCCACTCCCTCCATAGCCCTCTCAGAAATGAGGAAGACATATATAAGCTGTTAACACCTTCAGACAAGAAAGCCAATAAAAAATTTTATGCACCTTTAGTTAATTTGTTTGGGAGCCAACACAGAACTCTCGCCAGGTATCGACAGCCAAACCAAGCGGCCTCACAGATAAACATGGTACACAAAATATAAGATCACATCACAAAAACAAAAATTTCTCGATGCTTTCTTACAGTTTATTCTACAAAGTAAACAGTCGTCTCTCCCAAAAAAAAAATCTAAAGAAAATAAATAGGACAACGCGACCGATCCGCGTCACCATCGTAAAACTACGCGAGAATAAATCACAACATGGTTTCGAATGTTTTTTTTAATCGTTATTTATTATTTCTATACAAATAGAACTGTACAGTGAATTTTTTAAATTATTATTTACCACATTTCATCTGCTCTCACGATAGACTTTTTACAAAAATGAAAATTATCCATAACACGCACGGAATAAACGAGATCGCGCGCTACATTGTACCGCTGAACTAAGCTTCGCACTCGGCGCCGCTCGCAACACCCACCGAACATTTCACCGCTGTATCTCTTTACATTGCACACACTTCTGTAATATATATATATATTAAATATATATATATATAATATATATATATATATATAATATATATATATATATATATACGGTTGAATCCATTCATGCAAAATCACTATCAATTTTCTATCGCAGTTGAGAAAAATTAACTAAACCTGTCACTACAGCTGATGGAATAATAACTTAATGCTGACTTCAGTGTCTACTAATTGATTCTGTAACTTCCAGAATAGCTGAACATTTAACATTATCCTACACTCGGTTTAACATGTTTCTTTGTGACTTTTATAAAGAAATGCATATTCTGAAGTAACACTGGAACAATCTCTACCTAGCAATCACCTTTCAAACATCACCCTGGCAGAAATTGGTAGTAATATGTGCAATGTAAACACGCCTGACAAAATAACCAGCCTGAATAATGTACGTTCATAAAAATAACACCGTACACAATTCAGTTGGTGTCCTAAAATCTGTGGTTAGCGACTATGAAAACCTTGCAAAATCACACTATGGTCTCACAAAATAAGTCTCACTGTCTGTACGTAGAGGACTTAACATCTGGCAGTAAATTTATTGCATTATTCTACATATTTACAGTATAATAAACTTTTTCACTTGTTATATATGTTGCAGCAATTTTATTGATTTATATATTCGATTGAACACCCTTATATCATAAAAGGTTATCTCTTGATAAGTTGCTAATATTTCTTAACTTAAATAAAATGTTTGGAACCCCAACAACCTGAGAACAATACACTGCTAAACATAGGCCTCTCGTCTCTTCCATTATTTCCCAATTTAATCAGCACGCTTGGCATACGGGTTGGCAGTTGGCAAAGATGCTCTTTGATTCTGAATATTTTACATCTGATACAAATATGAGAATGACATGTTAGTCTTCCCTTCACAAACAATCCCTTATGTTGCTTCTTACCTCACCTACAGGATCAGATGTGATGATTGGATTCTTAAATTATGTTACAATGAATACTACATACAATAATTTAATGATTTCAACCAACATACACAATTTGAATGTTCAAGTGATTTAACAAAATATTAAAATGTTAGGTGTTCAATCGAATAGCAATTGACTGCAACATACACTATCAATCTGTAAACCGCAAATCTTTCACCATATAATATACTACAATAAGGCAGTGATTTCCAAGCATGCTTTATCTTTTGTCGAATAATGCATAGGCACCAATAAGAGGCATTCAGAAGCTTGGTTTCAAGTGAAACAGTTAATTATACAACATTTTTCATAAACGTCTTAGCTATGTTGGCATAACTTACGCATACCAATGCTGTTACCTATTGTCTTTGGGATAACTAAAATACTAAAGTTAAATACATTATCAATATTATGAGATCGCTCTACAATCTTGTCCTTACATAATCTAATTTTTACATATCCCCCATTACATTTCAATAGTTAAATAGGTCAAATTATATGCAAGTATGACACAACGTAAATTGACAGATTAGGTATTTTTTTTTATAAATGTTATTTGTATACCGTGGTATGCATAAGTTAGCTCTTAGTATTTAAGTCAAACTAGTCCCAGTCACTACAAAACAAGTCTAAAAACAATCACCCAGAGCAATATCGAATTTTATTATTTCACCACTTCCAGTAGGGCAGGTATGACTAGCACAAACATTGGGCACTATTGTTTGTCATAGACAATAATAAATACACCAAACATCAAAACATTACGTTTTATAAGTTAAAAGGCATAAACATTACTCTCTTTTAGTTACACATACAAAAAAAAGGTCATACAAAAATTTATACAGAAAACAATCAAAATATTCAGTGATAGCTTTACAAAAAAAAAGTTAACAGGAACATAATAATTTATTACAAGATCTTTACATCCGAATACGCTCCGGGCGTCCCTATATCGATATCACATTTTGTTATACTAGCCCCGCAGGGCAGAACTAAAGTTATTGCATCACATGATATTTCTCGCCATTACATTCGCCTGCAAATTCTTTTATTGATCACTATACAATAACACAACTGCCAGAAGAGTGAAATTTATACACCAAAACTTTTCCCTCGGCCATTTCGTTTCATTTTAGCTTCACTTATGCTACTACGAGTATCCCATCTCACTAAATCTATTTCGATATGAACATTATCCAGTGGCATATGAGACATTTTCGTGAAATCTTGTATTCACATTTACAAAGTCGAGTTTTTAATAAAATAATTATAATTTACGCTCGTCAATCATCACAGAGATTAACGAAGCATTTCATAAATATAATACTCGTAACGGAATGAAAGAGAATTTAGTTTTCCATATGGTCATGCACTTGCAGTCTTCGCTTTGTTATGCAAGTGGGCGCTGGAGTCATGGGTGCAAGCTTCGACCTTACGTCAATGGTGATAAGGTTGGTTTTGCAAAAGTTCCGATACATGTTGGCGCGTACAGTCACTCACTGAAGTTCACTCGCGATATAGAGCCGCGTGAGGCTCCAGGCGACAGGCGACTCACGCTCGGCGGCTGCGGCGCGCGCACGCTCCTCTGTACACAGTCCGAGCTCAATTCAAGTCACGGTCCTCTAAGTACTTGTACTCAAATGTGAAGCCTTCCTTTTTCCTCTGGCCCCACTTCTCATAGTCGAAGTAGATGTATGTGCCCTGTGAATATTAAACAACATAAATTTACATATTCTTTGGAATTTATTCTTTTAAAAATTGTATTTAAATTAAAACTTAAATCTGTTTAATTTTTTATTTTAAAAACTAGCTTTTCACCTTAATTTAAAAACCTTTGGTACTATAAAGTAGTTTACAGGCAAGTAGTTCAATTATCAAGAAACAACTAAACTCAGTCAATTTTTTTATTACATCGAAAATTATGAGCGATTTGAAAAATGTTTTCACAGATCGATTAATTTTAGGTAAATGGTAAATGTTCGCCTTATCCTATGATGTTGAAGCAGAACAAGTGGTAAAATAAAAAATGTTGTACAACAGACTTCACAGTTGAAATCAATTAAATACGCCGCATTATTAAAGATTACTCAAAAACTACTGTTCAGATCTTGGTCAAATTCATATGAGACCACATGAGAAGCATCAGCTTTCAAATAAAAAAAGTTTCATTAAAATCGGTTCACCTAGAAAAAAGTTCTGAGGTAACACCAATGATTTCAAAAGGAAAGATAGGCGCATCTAAATATTTTACTCATAACTTTTTCATACAAGAAAAAATAGCTCATCTGTCACAATACAAACGTCATATCTTAACACGACGTAACCAGGGTCGGATTTCGTAGTATAATTATCCTAACTGTACCATTATTTCATAGTTTGTAGTATATAGTATCGTAATAATACTAAGCGCAAATACCATCATTTTACAAGATCGACTTGTATTATTATTGGGTTTTTTTACTTTTTAATATTAACCTTACGATATCGAGAATTTCTGTATTGTACTAGAGTACCGCGTTTTTTAATAAAATTAGAATTAGCTCCCTTTCTGGCCAATCGGTGCTCGATTGATGCATTTATGTTGCATCCTTGATACAACTATAATGAGGGGCTACCACGATAAAAACTCTATGCTCCAGAAGCAATCGGTTTGAAAACAGAATTTCAAAATATTTTATGAATCAGATTTTCAGATTCAATTAAGCAGATATGGTTTCTTTTATATTCTTTTCGTTTTACCCTTATTGAATATAAAATATATTAGGTACCAATATTCAAAATTAAACTTATTATAGATTTTTTAGACAAAAATAAAACAGAAATAAAAATAAAACCGTCAAAAACGAAACGTATAGATAAACTAGACGCGTGACGTCAAAATCCCGCCACATGGGAAAAAAGAAACATGAAACGTCAAACGTGATATAATTTTTTTTAAATAGTATAATTTTATTTTTCATGAACAATATTTTTGAGGGTCTGAATGCAACCCTGGCCTAATATTGGTAACGTAACTAACTGTAAAATAAAACTTTAAAAATGCGTTCATATAATAATTTAATAGTAACAAAATTAATACAGTGTTTTAACCGATGATGCGATATCCCATGTTCCTTTTTAATCTTCGTATCGTAATTTTTACATTCTTTTACCACGCAGCTTGACATATTTATGACAGACAAATCTATCCTGCGCGCGCACCACTGTCGACCGATTTGCGTTGGCCCTAACTGTAATTTTAGGGCCAGCGCACTGGTCCGTTTTAGTTGTTCGGTCGGCCCGGTCCTAGTCCTATATATAAGCCAATGGGTAACACACATTAAAAAAAACATAAGTCAAGTTTAATACCTCCTCTTTCTTTTGGAGAAGGTTCAAAATTGTAAAAATTGATTTTACAAAAACTTGTAATAAAAATAATAGTAACGGTGACTGTGAATCATGTCTTAACAGCCTGCAAGTAACACCTTGAGATAAATAGAAGAGTTATTATAGAAGCATGGATATATAAAAATAATCTGAATTATTGGGTGTCTTATATAGGAAATTCCTGAAAAATCCAAAAAAACAAACTGATGATGGTATTAGGTATTTATTTTAAGACTTTCTAACAAATATGAAGTTAACCATTTCAACATTACAACAGATTAGAACAAATTACCCTAATAGCTCGAACACAATAGAGAAGTAAAACCCCATACCTGCTCATACTCCTCATTGATAACCTTCGGTTCCTCATGCCTCTGAAACCACATCATGTACTTGGTGTGAAAGCGCCAACTTTGTTTCTTCAACGCTTTTGCGGCAAGGTACTGTGCTTTCGTGCCCTCCATATAGTAGAAGACAAAAAATAAAGTCTCTGTCGATAGCCGCTGGAAGAACTCAACCGAGTCTGAGTGCGGTAAGAGCACCTGGAAATATAAATATTACAAGTTTAAACAATTTAATAAAAACTAATTATGATTAAAAAACGAAAACGTAATGGTGACCATGGATAATATGGGTGCCAAAAGACCTTTGATAAATTAATGATAGTTATCTTGACATTTATCCTCGATTAAGAATCAAAATGCAGATGCGTTGTCACCCCTGAGAACTAAGATGGAATGGAAGATTGCAAAATTCATATATTTTTATACTTTTTTTTAATAGAATTAGGGTGACAAACGAGCATACAGTCCACCTGATGGTAAATGGATGCTGTGGCCCATAGACATCTACATTTATTCTCTATTAAGATTCAAAATGCAGATGCATTGTCACCCCCGAGGCCTAAGATGGAATGCCTTCCAGTAAAAAGGGATCTCCAGTACTCAACACTCCCTATCCGTAATATGGCAGCACCTGCATCTAAGAGCGTGGTCCTGCCCCGGTCGGGCCGACCCATTCCTACTACAACCACAATAAAGTCGCAGTGTGGCTCTACAACTACTACTTCTCTATCAACATATTCATCACCATTGTTATTAGAGCCCATCACAAGTAGAATGCCAAACATCGGTATCTCCCTATATTGCTACATAGGATTTGAGCCACCTGTTTAAAACTTGTGGGGGGATTGTCCCCCCACACTGCATTTGTCAATATGAGACTGTTAATCCAGAACTTTTCTTCCCCATCGGTTGTCGGTTATTTGAGCTATATGGCAAATAAGAGGTATAATATAGTAATCATCGATCATTCGTAGCCATGTTGCAGTTATAATGTGGTTATAGTAGGAATGGATCGGTTCGACTGGGGTCGGATCATGCCCTCACAGAATACCAGCATAAAATAGCAGCTTAGTGCTATACTATGTGCCATATGGTGAGTGTAGAGAACTGGATGATACTCTTCTTACTGGAAACGAGGTATTTCATCTCAGTTCTCAGGGGTAACAATGCGTGTGTATTTTGATTCTTAATTGAATATAAATGTAGATGTTTAATAGGTCATAGCATTGACTTACTATCAGGTGGATTGTGTGTTTGTTTGTCACTCATATTGAATAAAAAGAAAATAAAATTAAAGTGTCAAACGCTTTAATAGGCTACATCATGGTAAGAGACCACTGAACTTTACTACAATACATTGACATTTGCAACTAAGTAGTATTTGACGGTATCATGTTGCTTAGGCATTTGACTTTGGTATATTTGATTTTTGGGATATGACATCTTAAAGGCAACGCATCCGGAAACCTGCAAATTCCCTGGTGTTGCAGTTGTTCATGGGCGGCGGTAGTGACCCTCAGGTTTGTCCCCTTTTCTCTAAAATATATATGTCTAGTGAGTGACCTGGTTGTAGTATACGGGCGTCTGGCAGACGTTGCGCGGCAGGTAGGCGCGCGTACGCTCGGAGTCTGCGGGGTGCGGCATGTGGTAGAACGACGCCTCCATCATGCGGAACTGCACCTGGTGTTCCTGCAACACGACCAACCTGCACTCTACACTCTGTTCAACAACGTACGGCACACACGCGACGGTGCGACACAGCTGGTGGAGACCCGAAATCACCACGTCTATCGATCGATTTATTCATTTTTTGAAAACGTTACCCCCGCACTAGGATTTTCTCCAGTGGCGAAGCTAGGGCAAGCCCAAGATATGGTTTTGTTGTTTTTAGCAGTTTAATAAAAATACACCAATCTTGAGCTGTCTCCACTACTTACACTTTAGTTTCATATTCAGTACTGACAAGGACGTGTTTAACAAAGCACACAGAAAGCATACTACCGCTAGATAGATTGTATGACATAATATGCAATTGCAAACCTTCGGTGGTTTTGAAAAGAGCCGTTTGGCTTTGCTTGAGATATTTACAAACAATACAATACATGAACAAAGAACAAACAAACTATGTACAAAGTTAAAAAAAGGGACGCCTGGCAGATGTGAAACCTCGAAATTATATTTTGTTTAAGTTATATGCATAAAAGAACAGATTACGACAGGTATTAGATAGTTATAATGAGAAGATAAAGCTTTGCTAATTATTTACCATAAAATAATGACTATTTCTTATAATTATAATTATTCATTTTCAATTCATAATAAACCGTACAAAATGATATTTTTAAACTCATACATCACTATAAATTAGCCGATAGCGTATTTGTGCCATCTAGCGTAATCTTTAGGTACCATCGTGAGAACCAATTTTCGTTCGATAAAATGACTTTACGTATAGAATTAAATAGATGGCGCCATTAAAATTTTATATACTGAAAAGGAGACAGAGAAACCTAACTGGAAATAACTAAAGGGAGTACTATTCTTTAAAAACCTCAATACAGTCTTCTGTATTCTTTTGATTTATTTAATTAAAATTTGGGCTTCACGTTAAAAAAAGATTGTAACACTTATTTCCTCTAAAATTAAACCTAGGTCTCGTACTTTATGCTGCTGTTCAAATTGATATTTTTAATTCGTATGGTAATATAAATATTGAGTTATTAAACCTTTAAATACGCCTAACTTAATTAAACTTTAATACTAAAGAGTCAAGTACCTATATTTAAAGTATGAAGAAATGTTTATTGAATATTAAATTTCATTTTTAAAGATTTTTACTTTTCCTCGCCGAATTAGCACTTCAACACAATTATATTCATCACAATGAACACTATTATCCTCCCATTTTCACTGAAAATCTTTGAACACAACAAAAACACACAAAAACATTGAAATGTGAACTGAACTTGCATACGAGGGGCCCGCAAACACTTCGCTAGTCGCTAACGCACTCCTAAACAACTTCATGGCGAAGCCAAGCTTGTTGGCTCAATAGTAATTGCTATATAAACATTTAGTAGTTATATTTCATTATAGAATATTTTGCCATAGGTTAGAAAGAGAGCGATCGTCTTCTCGAAAGCCCCGTAAAAAGCCCACGCCAGCGAGGGAGACAACTAATCGCTCTATTAAAACTCACTTTATGACAGCAGCAGTGTCGCCACAGACTACCTTTGTATAAACGTATCGCTAAGGCAATACGAGGTCATCGGTCAACATGTGTCGAACAGTGGAGTGCACGGGAAAATTGAAATAATTTGAAACAGTTTATGAGTTATTTTATTAGTTGATATTATTGATTGATTCAGTTTTAATAAGGCAAGCCCGGCTTTTCGGCTTTTATGGAAGCTTCGCCACTGATTTTCTCCTGTATCATGGAGCCAGTTTACATACATAAATTGCACAAGGACAAACATCATCCGCCGAACAAGATATTCAGAATTCAATGCTGAAATCCAATCCTTTCCGCCTTTCAAACCCTACTCCATGGAGGTTAAAGAACAGGAGAACGATCGCTACGTGCTAAAGCATAGCCCGCCTGTACTTGAAAATTGTAGAATTTATAGCGGCGATGACGTCGGCGAGTAGTGACTGCGAATTTAGCTGTTTATGAGTACAAGTCGATGAAGTTAGTTGAACAATGTACAAATTTTCTTCGCGGTATTGGTGAGAAAATTTTCATGCTCCGTAATTTTGTAATTTTTGACAAAAAGAAACATTAAAAAATGGAAATATTTTATTGTGCGCGGATATGCAAGTGGTTTAGCAATCGGATCGGAAAAATAGACTGAAAATGACCTTTACTGAGCGAACTTAGTGATCGCAGCGTCTCACTTATGGTGTCCATATTTCTGGACACTATTTTCTACGAAGATCATTCTCCTGTTCTCTAACCTCCATGCCCCACCCTTTTAATACTGCACTAATAAAAGGGTGGGGTAAATGACGCATTTCCTTGTAATATTTTCCAAATGTCACCATGTATCACAGCATATGGAATTTCGGTTTGGCATAATTAAACCAAATTTCCTGTAATCAGACAGTCGCTAAAAACCTTCCCTATTTACGAGCCAAAAAGAGTCTTTAGAGCTTCTTTTATTGTTTAAAAAAGTACTCACTTAAAAATATGCCATGTCTCTACTAAAGAATTAAAGCGACAGTAGCCTAGTGGCAGGGCGCGGACCGCGAACTTAAAAGGTCACGGGTTCGAATCCACCATTCAACTACTGTCGTGAACCACTCCTAACACAAGCATTTTAAGCTTACCAGGAGTGGTTAAAGGGAATATTAGTAATGTTAATTAATAGGATTACTAATATTTTTTAAAAATAAAAAAAAGAAAAAAGAAAAAAAATTAAAACGTGATATTATTAATCTATATAAAAATGTTATTACTATTTTAAATACACATATACTACAATTTGCTTAAAAACAACAATGTTTTGAAATCTGGCAACACCGTCGTTGGCGACGGTATCTTTAAATGTGTAAAAAAGGTATTACATGAACAGAATCATATCACAACCTAGAACCCCCCTCACAAATCCGAATAGTTTTTTTTTAAATATACACATAATACAAAATATTACATATCCATTTTGCACTTAGTGGCCGAAAATTTAAGCGGAAAATCTAGTCTTATCTGTTACTCCAAAATTTTATATTCATATTCAATATTCACTATCGACAAAAATCTAGCCAGTCTGTTAATTTACCTTTATCCCAATTTTTCTTTTTTTTTCTTAAGCTTTTTTGTATATTAGTTGTGAAATTGTTATTTTTACCTAGCCATGATTATTACGTGGTAGAGCTATGCTACAACTATATTAGTAGTACAGTTGTAGCACGAGTGGGTCGACTCGACTGGGGAAGGGCCACGCTCTCACAGAATGCTAGCATAAAATAGCAACTTGACACTGCTGTGTTTCGTATAGTGAATGTAGAGAACCGGAGACCCTTTCGCTAGATACGAGGCATTTCATCTTAGTCCTCATGTCCTCATGGGTGACAACGCATCTGCGTTTAGATTTTTAATCGAGGATAGATAGATGTAGATGTTTATGGGCTACAGCATCCACTTGCCATCAGGCGGACTGTGTGCTCGTTTGTTGTTGAGATACAACTTGTTTGCATGTTTCGTTCTAAGATTTAGAGACTTTTTTAAGTTTGTAAAGCTTATATCTTGGTGCCTAAATAAATAACAGAACAAAAAAACAATTTAACTTATTACCATAAGAGAATACTAACGGATGTCAAAGGTAAAGGTCCCAGTGGTGCAACGCCTAATAAGGGAGGGATGTGTGCTTGAGATAGTGTCACTCCTCTTCTTGTGTTCTGTAAAGAAACAAAACAATAATCATGTTAGAACAAACAAAATAAACTTACTACTACAAAGTTTGGACATTACGTATATAATAATTTTTCATATATACGTTAATACTCTACTATTATTGAATGAAACCAATTGGGTATTTGACAACTTTAATAATTTACTGCATCATGTAACTTGAATTTGCTACTATGTAACTAATTATAGTATGTATGATACAGAATGGGTACCACGTATTTGCAATAAAGGAAACCATATATTTGTTATCGTCTCTGCTAACGATATACAAAAAAAATAAACGAAATCAGTCCAGTAATTAGGTCAAAAAGTAGCGTTTTAAATTTGAGCTAATTTGAACTCTCTGTAGAATTAGGTCACTAGGTCAATGTTTCAATGAACTTGAATACTTGAACATTAAAAAGCGACGTTGCCACGCAGTGCAAACTATCACGATGTTCTTCGACAGCGGTGTCTTTTGGCAGCGTCGTTCAAAGGCAACGGCGCACTAGATATTTATTTTGTTTGAAAGTTTAAATTCTTTTAATTTATATTTAATTTTACTACACTCATATGTGGTTTCATTTATTGCATATTATATATTATAATATATTTTATTGCATATATTAGGATTCCTTAGTGTATACGTAATTTCTATAGAAAGGTTTGTTTTAACAACTCTTAAAAAAGTATTTCAACTGACTAGAATGTCCATATGCTTAGTTTTACGAATTCTATCACGTTTATATTTAAGTTCTTGTTAAGAGCCTATACTACCTCAAATTGCTTAGCATGATCCTCCATTATGCTCAAAAAATATTGCAGCATTAATTTTGAAATAAATACACGATAAAGTTGAGCATTAATGTTAAATACAATGTTAGACGAAAACACGATTCCGTAAAATTTTCTCGATAGAAAAAAATCTAAAGCTACCTCCAAACCGAACAACAAACCGCTGATATCCACAAAATACTTCAAATTAGATTATGAAACTTTGCATACTAACTGAACTAACTAACGGGTGTCTCACGGCAGAGTTAGGATTTTAAATTTAAATATTTAAAAAACCGTTGCAAGTAAGCGCGGGGGGAGGAGCGCAGTAGCTTCGTCGTTCGTGCGGATTCGTTAGTCACGATGTCGCAGTGGTCGGGTGAGCACCGCTCGTTCGCTATCGAAGCGTTTTTGAAAGGTGGAGAATCGTATGTTGTGGCTAGGAGACAGTTTTGTACTCACTACAATATCAGACGTTTACACGATGGACCAAGCGAAAATTTGATTCGTAAATGGATTATTAAGTTTCGAGCTACCAGTTCCGCTATAAATCAACCGCGACCGGGCCCAAGCAGAACTTCAAGGACGGAAGAAACAATAAACGAAGTGGCAGCTAGCGTTCGTCGCAATCCACGCTTGTCAATACGCAAAAGAGCGGCGGCTTTAAACGTCACCAAATCAACCGTAGAGCGGGTTTTAAAACGTGATCTGAAATTCTATCCCTATAAAATAAAGATAGTGCAGGAAATAAATGAAAATGACTACAATTTACGTAAAAGTTTTTGCCAGACAATCATTGAGAGATTTCACACTTTGAATACTGTGTTTTGGAGTGACGAAGCACATTTCCATTTATGGAAATGTTAACAAACAAAATTAGCGCTTTTGGTCAGTTGTCAATCCCAGACAAAAACATCAAAGACCGCTGCATAGCCCGAAAGTGACATTGTGGTGTGCTCTTTCGGTCAATGGAATAATCGGGCCGTATTTTTTTGAAAATGCGACAGGTGCTACGATAACTGTTTCTGGTGAGGTGTATCGGCAAATGATATCCAATTATTTTATACCCCAACTTCAAGAACATCCAGCCTACAGCTCAAGAACGCTCAAGTAGATGGTGTGGCGATGGGCTCACCTGTGTCTCCCATAGTCGCCGACATATTCATGGAGGACTTTGAGGAGAAAGCCCTTCTTACTGCTCCTGTAAATCCAAGGTTCTACAAGCGGTACGTAGACGACACTTTCACAATTTTACCATCTGACAAAGTAACTGCATTTTTAGACCACCTAAACTCCATAAACTCTAAAATACAATTCACAATGGAGTTAGAGGCAAATAATTCTTTAGCTTTCCTAGATGTTTTAGTCATCCGAAATCCTGATAACACTATTGGTCACACTGTGTATAGGAAAAAGACCCATAACCAACCGATATTTAAATGGTGAATCTCACCATCAACCTTCACAGTTAGCTACCGTGGGTAAATCTTTGTTTCAGAGAGCACGAGGGATCTGTGACAGAAAACATCTGGCCGCGGAGCTTCAGCACGTCAAGCAAGTATTGCAAGACAACAAGCTTCGGGTCCCGCGCCTACGTCACAGTGAACGAGTGAAGCCGGCCACAGTCGAGCGCGCGCCTGCTCTACTACCATATGTTAGAGGAGTCACGGACAAGATTGGCTAAATCTTGAAGCGAGCGTCCATTAAGACATACTACAAGCCGCTGAAGAAGATTAGTCAATTTTTACCATCCATCAAATGTAATATTCCTCTACAAGATGCAGGTGTGTACAAGCTAGATTGTGAATGTGGTCTCTCTTACATAGGTCAAACAAAGAGATCTATAAAAACCCGCGTGAAGGAACATATAGCTGATGTGAAGCACCGACGCTCCGGGAAGTCTGCAGTCTGCGAACATGTTCAAGATCGTCCCCACCATTACATTAGATTTGATAAACCACAAATTCTCGCAAAAGAACACCGATTCCTACCAAGAATGATACGCGAGGCTATTGAAATTAAAAAACATCCAAATTTCAATAGAGAAGATGGTTGGGTGCTACCATCTGCTTGGGATCCTATAATTAACAAAATTAAACCCAAACCCAAGCATAACACTGCAAGACTTCATATGATACTATAAGCTCGTTTTGCGTAAATCGGACCAAAAATTAATATTAAAAAACTGAAGGTAGCCGGACTAACTATGACATTGGGACGTCAAACATCTCAGTCCCCCCCGTGACCATGGGCGCTGTAAAGCACCCGAAACGTCGGGATAATAATAAAAATAAATTAAAGTAATTAAACGCGATAAAATCCGTAAATAATAGTTTTATTCAATGTGTAGTGTTCGCGTAAATTTAAGAAATCATTATGAGCTTACTCCACTTTACACACACACTGTGTTAATGGGTGACTTTAATACCTGCCTACTTAAAGAAAATGCCCGCTCCCGTCGGCTTAAATCTCTGGTTGAAGCAGCTAATTTAAATATTCTTCCCCTTTCTGAAACTCATTTTTTTCCTAACTGCATCCCTTCTCTCCTTGATTTGGTTATTGTTTCTTCTCTCGACCATGTTGAAAAATATGGTCAATGTGCTGCTAATGCCTTCTCATATCACGATCTTTTATTTCTTTCTTATAAAATAAGACCACTTAAAGCCAAATCAAGGATACTTCTGCAGCGTAATTTTGTGGAAATGGATTTGGACAAATTACGAGAAGATGCTGTGAATACGGATTGGAGGGCTGTAACAAGCGTTTGTACTGTTGACGAGCAGGTAGCAGTATTTAACTCGCTCCTTATTAAGATTTACGATGTACATGCTCCTGTTCGTCCAGTTTGTGTACGCCATCCTCCAGCCCCATGCTTAACCGAAGACTTTAAGAAACTTATAGCGAAAAAGAATGCTGCAAAGACCAGACACAAGTCAGATCCTACAAATGACTTGATTCGGGAAAAGTACAGGATCCTAGGTAATCAATGCAACAAGTTGTGTAGAGACTGTTCAAAACGAAGATCCAAGCCATGTTTGGAAATTCCTAAGGTATCTTGGAGTTGGGAAATCACATTCAAGCTCAATTCAAAATGATATAGACTTATATTTGCTTAATCAGCACTTTTCTTCTGCTTCTTGCACCGATAATGTTGCGAAGTCAACTACAACTCAACTTTCAACGTTACCCACTTCTGACTATCCTCCATTTGTGTTTAGGCAATTTGCAGATTGTGATGTTAGGAAAAACATACTCTCTATCCATTCTGATGCTTTCGGAAGTAATGATATCAGTAGTAAAATCATTATTCCCTTACTTGATATATTAACACCTATTATTACCTTTATCCAAAATTTTTCTATATCCACATCCTTCTTCCCTTCCCAATGGAAATATGCCCAAATCATTCCTTTGCCCGAAAAAGCTAATCCTTCGAGTTAATCGGAGTATCGTCCCATTTCAATTCTTCCTTTTCTGTTCAAAGTCCTAGAATGTCTTGTCCAACAACAATTAAATTCATTTTGCACAAGAAATGATATCCTCAATTCATATCAATCCGGATTTAGGCCGGGACACAGTACGACCACAGCATTATTAAAAATCACTGACGACATACGTTTCGGAATGGCTCACCGCCAAGTCACAGTAATGGTGTTGCTGGATTGCAGCAATGCCTTCAATGATGTAAATCATGATATACTAATTGGTGTACTGCGTTCTCTTAACATATCTCCAACTGCAATTGCCTGGTTTCGTAGTTACTTATATGGACGTCGCCAACGTGTTCGGGTACAAGACAGAATGTCTTCGTGGCTTGATACCGTTGCTGGCGTTCCACAAGGTGGCGTGTTATCTCCTCTCTTATTTGCACTCTTCATAAATTTTATTACCTCCGGAATATCTTCTCTCTACTACTTGTATGCTGATGATCTCCAGATATATCTACAAACAACCGTAGAGGATCTGCCAAAAGCAATTTGTGATATAAATAAGGACTTAGCGTGTATTCTTGACTGGAGTCGATCTTATGGATTAACTGTTAATCTGATAAAATCCCAAGCTATTATTACTGGTAGTTCAAGAATAATCTCCAAATTAAATAAAACTCAGTTAAACCCTATAACATTTAACGGTGTTCAAATTACTTATAAGGATGTAGTGAAAAACTTGGGAATCTTGATAGATTCTAATCTGTCTTGGTCTCCTCAAATCAACGCAGTGTCTCATAAAATGT